TGGGGGGGGGGGGGGGTGTCTCATGAGTCTATTAATGTCAGAGTCTATTCCCACAGAAACCTGAGTACAGAATGTGGTCTCATCAGCAAGAGGGGGGAAGCTTGTTTATTTCAATCACCTCTTTCTGCACCTCTTCAACACGTCCTTATCCAAACTGGGTCTTGTGTGTCTGGAGTTATAAACTGCAAATCTTCCTTTCACAAGAGGGTGGGAGGACCATAAAATATCCTCCCCAGTGGTGTGCACTTGTTATGCACTTTAATTGGTGCACTTTCTCCCAGAGAATCCTGTGAATTGCAGGTTACAGTAGTAATGAGAAATATCGGTTTGAGGTCACTGTGTTCCTTCCCCTTAAAAAAGAACTACAATTCCCATTATTCCTAGGTTATAATCAGCTTAAATCTTAGTATTTATATGCCCAGTCATATAAAAAGTAGTGATAGGCTTTGGACTGCTATCTGATCCCTCTCAAAGATACTGTAAATACAAATTGAAACTGGTATATTGCAATTAATCATGATTTCCAAATGTGGTGGGAAAACCAGCTTCCCCTTTGCTATTTCTTCTCTTTCTCTTATGTATGTACACCCTTTATAGCTGAATCTTGATCATCACAGCGGCAGAAACTTTATCAACTGGAAAAGTTCCAATATCATGAACTAGGATGTAATAACATTTTAAAGGACAGTAGGTCTCTGAAAGTAGTAGTAATTTTCTTCTGACCTTCCTTGACTCCCCAATTGATTGTCTCAGCTGACTTGCGTATGTTGTTATGGCTTAGTATTACTCAAAACTTGTATGGCTCTGTTATTCACTAAACACAGTTGGTGGTAGCTGATCAAGTTCACAGCTTTTCCATAGTCTCCTTATCTAGTCTAATGGATTACAATTTTCTGTCTTTCAGTTTAACCAAAAGGCACAACCTGTATCCTGCTTTAAACATTTAGTCCAAGCTAATATCCGCAACAAGAAGGTCTTCAAAGAGGACGTAGAAGGAATGGAGGCTCAAGGGACCACTGATTATAAGGCTGGCTTTGAGTATGCCTTTGAGCAACTGCAAAATGTAAGGCCAGGGTTTAAACTTGGGAGGGTGGAAGGCTAAGAATTATAAACCTAGATTTCAAATAAGGTGGATGCAAAGGAATATGGAGCTGTAGAAGTGAGGGCCGAATTAGATATGAAGACATGGGTGAATTTCTAATGTTCTGTTTTCTGAAAGCACCAAAGTCATGAAGTACAGGGACCTTCCATTCTAACCCCAGCAGCTGCTGTCAAGGGGGAAAACATGGGAAAGCTATTTATATATCTGTAATTTTAGCTTGACCTTGACAAATCTAAGCAGCAGAAGGCTTCCTGGAACTTCATGTTTGTGTCTCAGACTCTTATCGTTACTCTGTTAAAAGTAGAGGAGAGTATCCTAAGAAGCTTCTCTGCTGGTTCATTTTTCCTTGATGAGGCAAGGAAGATGAGTAAATATATATTGGACAACAACCCGAGAAAATTGAGCTCCAACCCTCATTCAACCAAAAAACCCACTAGTGGCCTTGGGTTACTGCCATGATAAAATGAGGAAAGAAATAAAGTATGTGGCTTTGGAACAAGAGAACAGAAATGGAATAATACTCTGAGGTATTAGTATATGCCACAAGGAAAGAAAGAAATCCATTGTGCATACCTGTAATTTCAAGGTTGCGTGTCCATTCTATCTGGAAACTTTTCAGAAGTCTCCATGGGGCACCAAATTTTGGCTTACACATACCTCTTATCACATTTGCTTCATTCAGCACGGCCTGTTCTCTCCACACAGTCAAATGTTTGATGGCAGCTACAATTCCCTTCCTTTCTTTTGCCTCCCTAGGTAGATGCAACCTTCTAGTCTTCCAATTGCAGCTCTGCTCTTGAGACTTACTACAGCTTCCATTACCATGAGAACCCAGCCTAGCACTACATTCCCTACACATTATCTCCCTTTGCTATGGTCTGTTCTACTGTTCTACTGTTGCCTTAGCGTTTCTCGAACTTGGCCATTTTCAGATGTGTGGACTTAGGTCTCCCTAGGTCTGTTCTACTGTTGCCTTAGATCAGCGTTTCTCGAACTTGGCCACTTTCAGATGTGTGGACTTAGGTCTCCCTAGGTCTATTCTACTGTTGCCTTAGATCAGCGTTTCTCGAACTTGGCCACTTTCAGATGTGTGGACTTAGGTCTCCCTAGGTCTATTCTACTGTTGCCTTAGATCAGCGTTTCTCGAACTTGGCCA